AATCTCACAGTACTGTACACATCTATTCAGAAATCATACCCTTTCAATTGGATGAGCTTACCAAATGAATGAATATAAACTGCAAAGCATTTCTCAAATTGTGACCAATTGGATCACTAATGTCCTTGGAGTTATCTTCTGTTAATTGTTTTGAAGTGTTGTATTGGATATCCATTATGAAATTAAAATGCCAGTAAGGTTTTTTTTTAAAAAATAGCTATTCAGTTTGGGCATCTTAATAAAGTTCCATTACTTTACTTTAGACTTAATATGTAGAGGTTCATTTAATCACTTGCCAAGGCCTCCCCTAATGATATGAACATAAGATTAAGGTTGTGAAACCACAATAAATTCAAAGAATTAAAGCAATAAATATATGAAAACTGGGTTTCAATGAGTTAACCTAACCTTTTAAGTACTGTTGAAAGAAGAATGGATTATATTTCACATCCATTTCCAAATTTTCTAATCCGTTTAGCAGAATTGATGCTTACATAAATAATCTCTTCTGCCTTCTGCAATATAATCCTTGGCATTTTCACAAAATAACAGGAACTGAATATGCTTGAGATCATGATAAAATATAACAATGGCTATATTGTATGCAGTAAGGAGCCAATATAATTGTTATTGCTACTATTTTAAATACAAATATTTTAGGCATCTCTTGAAAGTACAAATATGAGACTTCAATCCTATAACCTGGGATTGAGTTCCACTAAATTTAGTATGATTATTTCTGAAATAGCCAAATATAGGAATATGCTGTTCAACCTCCAGCATTAATGTTTACATCTGTCATCTGCAACCTATAGACATTTTTTGGTTTGAAAATATGGTATTTATACCCTGTTTTTTCCTCTGTTATGGCCGGGATGCTTACTGTTCAAACTTTAGTTTTGCCTGACTTTAGCAAGAAGCAATTTATATGTTTTTGTTGTTGTTTATTTTTATGCCATTCCCTTAACTTACCTTTGGATAGACAAAAAAAATAAATTCATTAAACATGTTTGGCTTCATAACAGATAGTCAAACATACATACATTTCTTCTAATATAGTATTATTATTACCATCACTGCATTTATACTGACAGAGTCCATCCTCTCCTCCCAGGAGATCCAGAGCAGCATTTAGATAAGTATCGATCTTATGAACACCGTTTCTGATGGTCTTCAATGTCATCCTCCAATCCGGAGTTTCGGGCTCGTGGCATCGGCCCGGCTCTAGCAGCATGGCGAATAAGGCCCCGGTCACGAGCAGCGGCAACAAGACCGCTCGCCTTACCGGCATCTCCGAACGCCCGCGGGCCGGAGTTCTAGAATTCCCACGCATGAACGCCGTGGGTTCTGGAACTC